AATATCGCATGCGAGTGCATGTGTTTGGTACAGCGTCATTGCCTGGATGTGCTAACTTTGGCATGAAACATCTCGCCAGAAGAAACGAAAAGGACTACCCACTGGCAGCCAGTTTCATTCACAAAAACTTTTATGTGGATGATGGGCTTCTCAGTGTTGAAACAGATAAGAAAGCCAAGCAGCTAGTCTGTGAAGCACTCAAACTCTGTGTTAAAGGGAAGTTGCGTTTGCACAAATTTGTGTGCAACAACAAAGAGGTCATGAGTGTTATTCCTGAAAGTGAACGAGCTGGCAACACTACGGATGTAAACATGAACTACTCTGAAGTCCCAATGAAAAGTGTGCTGGGAGTAAAATGGAATGTGGAAGCCGATGTGTTCACATTCAGTGGAGCCCTCAAAGAAAGGCCAGCCACACGCCGAGGAATTCTAGCAACAGTAGCAAGTGTGTATGACCCGTTAGGATTTCTTTCACCCTACACTTTGATAGGAAAACAAGTACTCCAGGAAATGTGCAAAAGTGGAGTTGGATGGGATGAACCTGTTCCTTCCGCACTGGAAACCAAGTGGAAAGCTTGGCTCTGTGACTTGGAAAATCTTCGAAAGGTCAAAATACCTAGATGCCTCTTTCCTGAGAACCTAGGCAAAATCAAAAGGGTTGAGCTGCATCATTTTTCTGATGCTAGCAGCAGTGGCTATGGACAATGCTCATACATTAGGTTTGTTACAGATGAACAAGTGCATTGTGCTCTAGTTATGGGTAAAGCCAGAGTGGCACCTATAAAAATAGTCACAATCCCGCGCCTCGAGCTCACTGCAGCTGCAGTTTCTGCTTTTGTTAGTAACTTTCTTAGAGCAGAGCTTGAGCGGAAAATCGACGAGGAGTTTTTCTGGACAGATTCTCAAGTGACTCTTGGGTACATAAAAAACGATGCTCGTCGCTTTCATGTGTTTGTTGCAAATCGAGTTCAAAAAATAAGAGACACTACAGACCCAAACCAATGGTTTTACATTAAAGCTGATCAAAATCCAGCTGACCACGCATCTAGAGGCCTCAAGGTGGCAGAGCTAATAAACTCAAACTGGCTCACTGGACCTAAATTCCCTTGGGAAAGAGAAATTATCACGAACCAACAATCTCCAGAACTTCTTGTTGGTGACCCAGAGGTAAAAGTTCTTAAAACAGATGCTATTGAGCAAGACAGGTTTCTTGAGAGGTTCATGAAATGCTCTGATTGGATCACAGCACTTAATGTGGTAGCAAGGATTAAAAGTCTTGCAAAAAGAGACAAATCAGGAGCCATCAGTGTGAAAGAAAGACAAATGGCTGCTTCTGTACTCTTCCAGCTAGCACAGAAGGAAGCTTTTGAAGAGGAACTCAGATGGTTTAGTGAGAAAGGTTAAGATCCAAGTAGGTCAAAGAGATTTAGGGAACAAAGGTGAACGTCTGAGACAACTATCTTTTCTGGAGAGACCTGTTCAAAAACTAGTGGTTTTGGTTAAAAGTGAGTCCTAAACTACAGTAAAGTACAAAATTTGATACAACATTAAAATGTGATATTTGAGTTTATCAAGTTACTGATTTCTGTGTGTTTCATAACAAAGGTTTATGGTTGATAGTTATTTTATTGAAAATTACAAGATTTAAAGTTCTTTAATGTGTAGTGAATTTCAATCATTGTAATTTTGGTGGCAGTGTAGCTGTCGCAGTTAAATGTGGTTATTCATTGTCATTTGTTTGATTTAACTGTGGAAATATTTAATTTAATTTCTTTGTTGATTTGACGCCACCTGCTGGCTGGATTGAAATTTGACACTGGAAGGTGCGCGCGAGCGGAGCGAATGATTAACTGACACAAGCACGGAGAAGCGACCAGAAGAAGCTCACATCGGATAAAGAAAAGTGGACATGGACTGAAATTGCTTGTGAATATTAAGTGGAGAGGCGCACACGGTGTGTTTGTATATTTATCTGTATTGCATTAATATCTGAGTTATAAGTTTATGTTTCTAAAATTAATATTTGTGTTTATTGTTGTTCATTTCACCGTAGTTTTTCACGGTGTTTGCTGGTAACAAGAAGATAAAGAACCAGTTGAACATCAGTTGGAGCATGGCGTTTTATTCCACAAAAAACAAAATATCCTTCATGAGCAGTTACACTCACCAAATAGAGTATTTACTAAGAAATCACAATGCAGCCATAGAAACACTACTTGGTGTGTGTGTGTGTGTGTGTGTGTGTGCCTGCTCTGTCTTCTCGATCCCCAGTGAGTCATGGCGGATGGCTGCTTATACTGAGCCAGGATCCTCTGGAGGTTTCTTCCTGTTAAAAGGGAGTTTTCCTCTTCACTGTCACTGCATGCTTGCTTAGTATGAGGATTGCTGTAAAGTCACTGACACTAGTCAGTGACTCGATCCAATTTGCTTGGTTCCTTATATAGGAAACTGTTTTCTGACTGGCTTAATGAACTGACCTGTATTGGAATGTTTATTATGTGAAGTGCCTTGAGACGACTCTTGTCGTGATTTGGCGCTATATAAAAAAAACTTGAATTGAATTGCTGCTGTACACAGACACACACACACACACACACACACACACACACACACACACACACACACACACGCACGCACACACACACCTCTGCTGACAAGACTAAATAATTATTAGGTTGTAGATCTTCTCTACAACAGATGTTTATATGTTTCCATTTATTTTTATATTACAGATGTTTGCACTGTATAGCCCTTGTCAGTTTTTGCAGTAGTTTTTACATCAAATTAGGTCTGTATTGGGTAGGACTACACAATTTTGGTTATAAACTATAAGTAGGTGTGTTGGCTCTTTTACCTGAGGGATCGGGGATTGTGTGTGTGTGTGATTATCTTGTTTCTGTCTTTTTTCATTTATTTCTCTTTTCCTGATTGCGCCCTGTGCAATTTTATGACTGAATAAATAACAACTAAAATCTATGTTAATGATAGTCATGAATAATCTATTTCATTTTCAGTCAAAATAATCATGATAATTATTTTTGCCATAATTGTGCAGCCCTCAACTACACACCAGTTTTTATTTTTATTAATAGCCAAAGTTAAGTTACACTGAAAATAATTAAACTACCTTTTTTAGACAATCAGCTGAACTGTGAAAACTGTTATTCTGTGGTCTGTGAGAGATGATGTGCTCACAAACATAAAAAATAAACCACAAAAACATGAGATCCCTTTGCTGTTGGTGGAAATCTCACATGTTCAACTAATAGGAATGGTTCAGTAGCGTTTTGTTGCTGAGGGACAGAAGGATGTGGGTGACAGTGGGGTGTCACAGGGCAGAGCTGAGGAATGAACAGTGAGACAGAATTCATGGGAAAACTTTAGATATTGGAGCGATCTCAGTTTGTTACTTCTCTGTAGTTTAGTGGGTTTTTTATGTATAAGGAGGGTGAGAGGGACGTATGTCCAGCAGACAGATCAGCTGTTTAGCTGGAAGATTAAAGGAGACCCAGAGCTGGAGTGTGAGGACAAAGCGATGATTTCAAAAATGAGCCTTCCTCTTTGAGGAAGATTAGATGGGCCATGAGCTGACTAAAAACAAGTCTTAATGGTGGTGCTATTTAGAACTGCAGCTATCGAATATTTTTGTAACAGAGTACTCTATCGAATCTTTTATTGATTAATCGAGTACTCTAATTAATTACTCTTTTGCGTTTTTAAAGCATTATATCAAATAGCATGTTATAAAATATGAAAGACCTCTTGAAATGAGAAAGCAATTGCCAGTTATTCTTCAAGTTTTATTCAAAATTAGTTTTCAAAACTTCAGCACTTCAACTTTACTTCACAGTAAACAAATGCGAGTGGCTGCGACCCAAACAGCACCAGAACCGCTCACGGTGCATGCGCAAACATGTCTCGCCAGCTTTTTCCCTATTAACACACGTTCGTTTTAATTTCTACACTTTTTTTTGTCTCACACTAACAAGGATTGTCGAAAGCATGTTTGCCGTGGTTATGTCAAATTATACTGATCAGAAAACATTTATTTACTTTCTTTCGTTTTCCTCCGCCACTCATAAATACCTGTCCTCCTGCAGCAATCCTGAGGGACAACGGACATCAATAACAACACAGTAAAAAGTCTGACGTGTTGTAAAAACTACTATTTTTAGCACATTTTAAGTCCAACGTGTTGCTACCAGACGTACGGTGTGAGCTGAAACTGAGTGCTACAAATGAAAAAGTCCCACAGTGTCCGCAGAATATATAGAAATACAGGCTAAAATGCATTATCTTGTAGAGGCTCCGAGTCCGCTTGCAGAAGTGACATTTACATGTGGATGTTTCCTGGTCAGGTGCTGCAGCATGGAGGATGTGGTGTTGTGGTAGGCTAAATCCATTTTACAGTATTTACACTGGAGTACGTTTTCCGCCTTACGACGTGAAAATGGTCCCACACTTTTGACATTTTGTGTCTTTTTCACACTCCACCGGGGTCCACATTGTCCGCCATGGCTTAAAAGAAAGTTAAGTTGCGTTCGCTACTCGCGTGTGCATTCAGTGCAGTGTGTATGTGCGTCACTTATTTCGGTCCGGGTGAAACATGACCACGGGCGATTGCAAAGCCATGAATTAATTAAACATGAATTAAACGAAGCTTCGAGGCAGAGAATTTGACTCGAGGATTTTTTGTACTCGAATTATTCGAGGTACTCGAGGAATCGTTTCAGCCCTACTGCTATTTATTTATTTTTACTCTTTTCAGCTTTGTTTTGATTAGCTGTCTGTTTACTGAGTATGCCTTCAGGGGATGCGCTCAAGACGTAGTGTGTCCTGCTGGTGCATGACGTTTAGCAGTCTGGCTCACCGAAACCTTTCACAGTACAGTGTGTCATCCCACTGGAGTTCTCTCAGTGTGACATGAGCAATCCTGTGTGATGACCGAAAAACGCTGTGTGATCCCGGTTTAAAGGACATGGCTGAAAACTGTTAGCTCACCTAAACCAAAGCCTCGTCCTTTTCTCTTCTTGGCCTTCTCTTTCAGCTTGTGGATGCTGTCTGCAGACAGAAACATAAAATTAAAGCCTGAAGATGATGCTGTGCGATGAAGGCAAATTCAATGATGATGATACAAACTCAATGTAGTTTCAATTTTAAGACATTTTAAGAAAGAACTTCACAACTCTTTAATATGCCGTTTGTGCATTTGTTTTTAACATCGTCTTTATTCAGTCGTGTAAAATATGTTACTTATTGATTAAAAAACACGTTCCTAATTAACATTGAAGCTTAATAATGGGAGAAAACAAATCGAGTTTCAAAAAGTCTGAACTTTTTATGGTTCAAGCTACTTACTATAGGAACCTTAAGTGTGTGTTTGTTATCCGTTAGCTGCTAGCCAACTCCGTTCGTTGGTTTACTCTCTACATTAGCAGCAAAACACCCACACATGAACATTTAAACACTAAAACCGAACTTAGACGTGGTTTCCATATACTTTGAACCAACTAGCCACGCTGCTAACTCGCGCAGAGCGAATGAATCAACAGCTAGCTTACTTTATCTCGTTAGCTTGGGCCTGCTAACACGTAGCAAGGCGGTTTAGTTAATCTGGTGGTAACAGAAACATCAACGCGACATTATTTATACACCTGGATTAAGCAGCGCCTACTGCTTAACGCATAAGTAATAATATTACCATCACCATCCTCATCCATAGGAAAGTCTTCGCCTCCCGCCTCATGAAGGTCCAGTACGTCCGCCATGATTCCTCTGAGTGTGAGAAGATCTTCCTGGCTGCGGCTTGAAGCATGGGGCGGAACGTGGGCACAGGGCACATCCACACCATGAAACTTCTGTACCTGAAGGGGGCGCTATTTCCTATTGTTAGTGTGACTGTAGAAAAAGGTTTTCATCAATAAACAAACAACTTAGTAGATGTGGCTCGTGTATAAAACCATCCACACCTACAACCGCGCCCTAGCGTGTCGGGGACGCGCGCTGGAGCGCTTTAAATTGTCATGTTTCTGGTGTTAAAAAATGAACATAAATGAAAGATCTTTTAAAACAAACGGGATAGTAAAAACAATGCTGTTTTTCCAGATAAGCTGGACAAAATACATTACTGGTGATGAAGTCCAAAGATGAAATTACGGTAATACAAAAATACTAATGCATCAGCTGTAAAAGCATCCTAGATGATTTTATCTATTTTTAATGTAATCAACGGGACGTCGTTACGTGCATTAGCGCAACCTACCTACTGATCTGTGGACCATCGAGACAAAAGGACAAATCATCGCGAATGAGTTCGCATTTGGAAAAAATAAATAAATGACACGCACTTTTATAGCGCCTTTTATTTTGATTTGCAAAAGAAAAAAGAAAAAAAAAGACCAAAATAAGATAAAACAGACAAAAATCAGAATCATAAGGTTTTATTTCCATTTGTGCAAGAAACCACAACATTAGGAAATCGCTGCGGTACTTGGTGCAAAAAGAAAGATAAAAATAAGAAATTAGCAAATATAGGAAGTAAAAATATATCATGATAAAATAATTATTTAAGTGACAATAATTAGAGAAATGCTACTATACAAGGCAGTGTAGTTACTGATCAGTTCAGATAGCAACAAATACAATACAGGGTCATGTGACTGGAACCAAGCAACTGGAGTGGGACCTAGGATTGTCATTCATGAGTCCAACAACAGAGGGTAAGAACTTGTTCTTGTGGCGAGAGGTTCTGGTCTGAATGGATCTGAACCTCCTGCCAGATGGGTGCGAGTTAAAAAGACTGTGTCCACTGTGACACAGGTCAGCTGTTTTCCAACAGCACGCCTCAATGTCCTGGAGGAGTACAGGTCCTGTATGGAGGGGAGTTTGCAGCCAATGACCTCCTCAGCATAGAGTACAACATGCCACAGCTTCTTCTTGTCCCTGGTGGTGGCTCCTGTGTACCACACAGTGACAGAAGAGGTGAGGATGGACTTGATGACTGCGGTGTAGAACTACCTCACATCGACTGTGTTGGCAGGTTGAATTTCTTCAGCTGCATCAGGAAGTTTATTCTCTGCTGGGCCTTTTTTATGATGGAGGTGATGGTGGGCTCCCACTTGAGGTCTTGGGTGATGATGGAGCCCAGGAAGCGACATGAGTCCACCAACTTGGGGAGTGTCAGACAGGGTTATGGGGGGAAGTGGGGCTGTGTGCTTCCTAAAGTCCAAAACAACCTCCGCTGTCTTCTGGGTGTTTAGCATCAGGTTGTTGTGGCTGCACCAGGACACCAGCCTTGAAGCCGGGAAGTGTGGTATTTAATTATTTTGGGTTTATCACCCCAACATCACCCCAAGACATATATATATATATTTATTTGTTTGTTCGTTAGTTTATTGTTTGTTTATGCGACTTGAAAGGCAGCGTGCACACCACAAATATTACATCAAAACAAACGGCTCAGCCGTGAAAAGTGTGGTTTATCAAGATTTTGGGGTGATCACCCCAGTGTCACCCAATATTTATTTATTTGTTTATTTATTTATTGTTGATATTTATATTTCCTTCAGTGTGTTCTCTGACTGCAGCAGTAACATGTAAACTTCTGCAGTGTGTGTGTGTGTGTGTGTGTGTGTGTGTGTGTGTGTGTGTGTGTGAACAATATGAAGCCATTGCCCAATGATCAGTTAGCTAATATATTTATATTTTATAAATAAACGAGTTATTTTAATATGAATTTTATTTAATAAAGAAAACTCTTAAGATGAACCTCTGTTACAAGAGTGCAGATCAAAACATCACCTAGGTACAAGACACAAGAACATGGATGTCACTGTCTCACTGAAACTACTGAAACTATCAACAATACAAAGTCACTGTGTGAGACGAGTTTCTTCAGATTCAGGAGCAGCTTTTACTATCAGCATTGTGTGAGAGCATTAGTTGAATCATTGTGTGGAAACATGTTTGTCTTTAGTGTCTGGACTGGGCTTTCTCAGACAACTTCCTTCTCTGTGCTCAGAAAAATTCTCTCATAAAAGACAACAATGTCGCCCTCTAGTGGTCAGAGCCGTAAACTTGCATTTCAGAGACGACAGTACCCAAGTTCAGACACCTTTGAAAACAGTCAAGGTCATCCCAATGACGCATGCATAAAATTGTGTAACTTAATAATGAAAAGTAAAATGAATGGCAGATCTAATAGTATTGGTGGGTAAAAAAAACCGAGGTTATGATAGGCCTTAAGCGTTTGAAGCCTCAAATAATATTTTAAAAAATCAAGTTTTTATTACTTACTGACTAAAGTTAACACAACAATATATAATTATCGGTTTTAATGATTATTATATCAACAAAATAACAGTAATATAGATATATTACTGGTCCTTGCCACCTGTAGACCATCCACCAGGGAGCGGCAGTCAGGAACAAGGCTAGATATGGCAAGTTTCTGATGACCCTGATGCTCCTCTGGATGCTTTAGGACAGAAGGAGTTTGGTTTGGAGTCTGAGACTATAGAGTAGATGGGGTGAAAAGTGAGAATGAAATCTCATAATCAGTATGAGACTTCTTCTGTCATCCAGCTGAACGCCCCACCCCACCCCCTGGGCTGATGGAGACATCCCTCCACCTCCTGGTGACCATTATCTTCATCCTCATTCGTTCTGCTGAGAGGGCGACTGGCTGAAAGTTGTTTGTTTTCTCAAGGACCGTTGACACTTTGCTGTTGTTCTCAAAGGGGGACAACTGCACAATATCAGAAATTACCAAAGCAGATGGTTGTCATGCCCACTCCTCTGACAAAGCAAAAAGGGGAGAGAATACATACAGAATACATGATGACCTTGAAACGTGTTAAAGGACTGGAAACAAATCATTCTGGGATGTTATAGGTGATGTTTATTCCTGTTTAGTCCCATTAAGCTGTCTCCATCGCTAAGTATTTACGTCTTGTGTGAAGTGCTCTATAAATAAAGTGGTATGATATATATGTTATGGTATATTATGGTATAGTATGGTATGTTATAGTATGGTATGTTATAGTATGTATGGTGTATAAGGTGTATATGGTATATATGGTATATAAGGTATGGTATGTATAATATGGTGTGGTTCGGTATTTATGGTATGGTATAGGTTGGTATATATGGTATTTATGGTATGTTATATATGATATGGTGTATTTGGTATGGTATGGTTTGCTATATATGGTATGGTATGTATGGTATTTATGGTATGTTATATATGGTATGGTATTCATGGTATGGTATGTATAATATGGTGTGGTTTGGTATATATGGTATGGTATGGTTTGTTACATATGGAATGGTATATATGGTATGGTATGGTTTGGTATATATGGTATATATGGTATGGTATGTATGGTATTTATGGTATGTTATATGTGGTATGGTATTCATGGTATGGTATGTATAATATGGTATGGTTTGGTATATATGGTATGGTATGGTTTGATATATATGGAATGGTATATATGGTATGGTTTGGTATATATGGTATATATGGTATGGTTTGATATATATGGAATGGTATATATGGTATGGCATATATGGTATGGTATAATATATATGGTATGGTACAGTATGATATGGTTTGAAAAAACCACCAGCTGACCAGTCATGCAGCATGAAATCAGTTCACAATATCTTCTTCTCCGTAACACGTTTATCAGGAGCAGCTGTAGATGGTTGGGTAACCTCTGATAAGAGGGAGTAGATGGGAACTTTGTCATCAGTTAATAAACACTGTGTCAATAAAAGGTTCATTAGAGTTCATCGACATTGGCCTTCAGTGTATAAATCACTAAAACGATGGTTTCATCAAGGGGCAAAAGTGAAGCCAACAGGGAGGGGACAAAAATTGCAGCCCCCCCCCCCCCCCCCCCATCCTAGGGGCTGGTTCCAGAAAGGAGCAGTTCTCATTCACTCTCATGGTAAAAATGCCAACTTCACAGCAGAAATAAACATGTTTACATCCTGGTACAAAAAACATTTGAGGTGTAATAGATCTAGATTACGGTCATGACAACTCTGAGGGGGGTGGATTTTTTGTAACTCATCAATTTAGATGTAATTAAAGCTTGAAATTAGGTGTGTGTCCATTTGAATGACAGACAGCAGATTTTATCCGTCAGCGTCAACCCACTGCTTACTCACGTGAAGACCTCAGCCTCAGTGTCAACGGTGGTTTTGTGGCTAAAAGTGCCTGCCTACCTCTAATACTTTAAGCTAATTCAGTTAGCCCATAGCAACATCGGCTTAGAGTTTGATGGGTGTCAATCATCTGCGCCCACCCTCACGGCCCTGCTCTCAGCTCCATTTTTGTACACAGCTAAAAAAAAGAAAAAGGGAACACAAAAATAAGACATCCTAGATTCAACTGAATGAAATATTCTTATTAAATACTTTCGTTCTTTACATAGCTGACTGTGCTGACAACACAACCACATGAAAATTATCTGTGAAAATCAAATACATCAATCCATGGAGGTCTGGATTTGGAGTCGCATGTAAAATGAAAGTGGACTAAAGCCTGTGACAGGCTCACAGAGGGTGATGGATGGTGATGGAGACATGCCCAAAATTTTAAACATCTGTCGAAAGTGACAGACACCGCAAGCTTGTGATTGGTCAGGACGCCGCTTCCTGTATATTTGTCACCAGCATTGCTGTAGCTCCGTTAAAGGGTAAACAGATATTTAGTAGCAGCCCCAGAACAGATTGAAGAACGCTTCACGGAAAAAGTCCAAAAACATTAACATTTATTCACCCATGAGTGAACGAGTACAAAATACGGAGCAAACGTGGATGGAAACGACGGGAAATGTGGGTTTAGAGGTGGTGATCGCATGAAGAGATGAAGGAGAACAACGGACTAATTTGCCGGTGTTATAAAGTCTCTGAAATATAAAAACACATAAAGTAAATACACTATCGGGGATGGGGACCAGATGCACGAGTGTCATAGTGGCACAATACCACAGAACAGCGCTCCGCCCTCTATAGTCCTGGCAGGGAATTGCTTTGCAACACTCCACTGCCTGAACTGAAGTTCGAATGTGATGTCCAACACTCTGTGTGCGTCTCTCTGTTGCAGAACTCACGAAGAAGTATAAATCAGGCTTAACACACTACAAGCAGATCCAACTTTGATGAAATGTCCTTTAAACAAGTCAGAACGAGGCTCAGCAGTGTGTGGTCTCCACGTGCCTGTATGACCTCCCTACAATGACTGGGCACGCTCCTGATGAGGTGGCAGATGGTCTCCTGAGTGATCTCCTCAACCCCACCAGCATATGGTCTAACAAAGGGTCTGAGGATCTTGTCTTCATATCTAATGACAGTCAGGCTACCTCTGGTGAGCACATGGAGGCCTGTGCAGTCGCCCAAAGACATGCCACCCCACACCATCACTGACCCACTATGTAACCTTCTTGCCACAGCTCACATTGGTGTGCCACCCTGACTGAACTTCACTACCTGAGCCACAATGTGGGTCGAAAACTCCGCCTCATTCTACCACTAGAGTGAAAGCACCGCCAGCATTCAAAAGTAACCAAAACATCAACCAGAAAGCAGAGTAGCTGAGAAGTAGTCTGTGGTCACCACCTGCAGAACCACTCCCTAATTGGGGATGTCTTGCTAATTGCCCATAATTTCCACCTGTTGTCTGTTCCATTTGCACAAAGGCAGGAGAAAATTGATCATCAACCAGTGTTGCTTCCTAAGTGGACAGTTTGATTTCAAACAAGCATGACTGACTTGGAGTTACGTTGTGTTGTTTATGTGTTCCCTTTCTTTTTTTGAGCAGTGGTTTTTCTGGGAGTGACGAGACACGTGACGCAGCCGAGATGGCGATGGTGGGAGCCGCCCACTGGGCTTCAAATCAGCTCTTCAGAAACCTACAGGTGACAGTGCAGAGGATATGTTAATTATCTTTTCTTCTACTTAACAGTTTGGTTTGTACAACATTAAAATAAGCAGACTTTTGTTTTGACAGTACAACAGAAGCATCTGCTTTGACCCTTCACCCCATAGGTCACATAAGGAAGCACTAAACTAAACCCCAAAAAGAAACAACCACAACCACAACAACAACAACAAGAAGAAGTTATTATTATTATTGTTATTATTATTATTATTATTATTATTATTATATTGACTTTCAGCTCTTTTTACTTCAAATGAATTAAAACAAAATCAGTGAAGGACCTTTTTGGACTACTTCGTAGTGAGAACGTTGAGCAGTTACAAAAAAAATCTAAAACTGTTTTAAAAAACAACAACCATAAAATCTCTTTTCATAAATCAAACTGAAGAAACTATCAGAAGTTTCAAATAAATGCTAAACTTGGTCATGTCTGAAGAGATTAGTGTGTGGTGAGGCTTTGTGTGCTAAAACCCAACTCGGTTTAATTATCAGAAGAATGTTCTTGAGTTCATCAAATCAGCGCTTTCATCTAGTCAGGAGTGACTGGTCTCTGTGTTTTCTACTCGTGTCACGAGCCGCGTGGACTTTACATCCTCCTTGTCACAGATCGTGTCAAGGTTCAGCCAGCGCTGTATTTGTTCTGACCTTTTCGTGCCACAGGGATTAAATTCTGTGTGGAGATGATTAACTCATCCTCCGAAGCTATAAAAGCTTCTGGCTTCCTGACAGGAGGCACCATCAAGTCCAAGAACCCCAGGAGTTAAGGTAAGTCTGGCTCTGCTGCGCTCTGAGGCTTTTTCCTTCTTCATATTGATTAAAACACATCACCTGTTTAGCTAACGGAGACACAAAAGTGCTCAGATTACCAGAAAGCATGATTTGATTGATCTAATTTCTTTTTTCTTGACTGACTTTTGTTTCTTCTGCCTTCAGGTTGGTCGAGCTCATCCACAGCCATGAAATTCTCCCTTGTTGCCACTCTTCTCGTGCTGGCCGCCGTCTACGGTGAGGAATGTTTCCACAAATTCAGCCCACATAACATCAAATATCTGTTGTTAATGTAGGATTTGGAGTTTCAGTGTAGTTAAAGTAATTAAAATATGATGGATTCATGAAGGACCTCTCAATATGAACAAAATTGCGACATAAACAAAAAACAAAAAATGTCAAATAGAAGCAAATTTTAAACGAATGAGGAGTCTACTGATCCCAGGACCGGAGGAAGAACATTCCGGGGTCCAGGAGCCACAGACAAACAGGCTCCGTCTCCTTTGGGCTGTGTTTTTTTAACTGATGTACTCTGGAGCTTCTCCATTGAGGGATCTCCAGGTCAGAACCAGAATCTTACATGGTAATGTTCCGGAGGGCCGATTTGGCGGCATTAGTGGAGGGGTTACGTGAGTAAATGTGGAAGCTTTAGTCAGGAGTCTAGCAGCTGCTGTCTGCAACAAGGAAGTTTTAGTTAAATGGGTAGAGTCCATTACTATAGTCCTGAAGAAACAAAGGCGGGAATCAACATTTCCGTTTCACCTCAAGAGATAACGGAGCCAAGCTTGGCAATAGGTCTCACATGATGGAAACAGGATCGAACCAGAGATCCAGTTCCAACGTTACTGATGGTTAATGAGTTAAAAAGGAAACTTTAAGGCCAAAATAAAAGCCTGAAACACCTGAGAGGTGGTGTTGAATAAACGTTTTTGAGTGTAAGTTTGTGTGTTCACAGGCTCAGAAGCGGCGTCGCTGGTGAAGCGTGATGTCCAGTCTGATGTAGACAAGTTCACCCAGCTGTTCAAAGACATGTCCATCAGCGTCTCCGCCGCAACTCAGGAGATGATAGAGAAGATGAAGGCCCTGGAGATGACCAACGCTGCTCAGTAAGGAAAAACTCTCACTCTGGGGTCATTTTACTCCATCTACATGGGATGACCTTTAACCTGCAGGGGGCTGACGTGCATTTGAAGGGACACTTGGCAGTTTTGGCTTGCTTTTAGCACCCCCTAGTGTCCATTTAGTGAACCCAAAAGTGAAACTTATCTCCTCGTTGTGGGTTCGTCATTTAAACACCTTACTCAACAACTGGAATGCCTCCTCAGCCTTCGATAGTTCTTACAGGAGTGATCCATCACTAAATCAAACAAACCAGCTCTGTTCATGATCTAAAACATGTAGGAAAGGTGCTGGAAGCAGACTCCACCAGCGTCAGCATCAGCTCCACATTTACTAAGTCCAACAGGGACCGTACCGGCACTCTGAAGTTGCAAGTGCAGTTTTCTGACCACAATGGGCAGTGGAGCTAAAGAAGACCTAAAGTTACGTTAGTATTGCTTTAATAATCCCCTTGGAATTTGAAATTAGCTGGACCTCAATACCTTAAAAATTAAATGATAAGTGGATGATAAAAACAGAAATAACAACAAAAATAAGTTTGGACAAAGGAAGGATTGAAAGTATAATCTTTTAAAAATAGAAATATCGTTTGATTTGGGAAACGGTTTTAAATAAAATATGATGTTGCAGTAAAACGTGTCCTCGCAGCACTGAGTTGTTCGGATATTAAATGTTCAAATTCATGTGTTCAAAAACTGTAGAACAGCCAATTTTCACATTAAAAATATCACTTTATTTTTCTTTATTTACTTATACATTACATTTGTATTTTTAAAACTTCACAGCTGACATGATGTAACTTTAGAAATCCTACGTGACACCAATATGAGACATGGAGGTTAACCACAGCCCATGTGAGTGAGAGTAAGCTGTTTAATGTCCAAACCAAGAAAAAAACCTGTTAAAATAATGTTTTTGTTATTTTTTAAACCCTAACCCTAATGTTATAACAGTAGATGGTGATATTTAACTTTTTAATTTAAAACATCCACATATGCTTTGGTTTTGGGTTTGGGCTAGGGTTAGGTTTAGGGTAACCCTTATTCGTTTTTCTTCTCAGTAAAGTTGACTGCATGCCCTACGTGGACCAAAACGAGTTCCACCAGCTGGTCGACTTGGTCATGACAGGGTTAAATTAAACACAAGCCTGTTACCAAATCAATGCTTCTATTTCTAAAGCTGATTTTCACCAGTAAATACAAACTTTGTTTCATTTTATTCAATTTTGTCCCTTTTTTGTGCGTCCTGCTACAACAGGACATACATGGAGGACAGCAGGGTTAAGATCCAGCCTCTGATGGAGACAGTCCAGTCTGAGGCCACTAGGCTGCAGGAGCAGGTCCAGCCATACATCATCAACATGGAGGAACATATGAAACCCCTGACAGACAACCTCAATGCTCAGGTCAAGCCCCTCACAGACATGATGGAGAAGTTCTTTCAGCAGGTGATGGATCAGTCCAAGACCCTGCTGCCACCCCAGTAAAACCCCGATCCTGGAACTGTCTGGAACAGAACATACCGGGACTTGAACTGTTATGTCATAGACTTGTCTGAGATGTCGAATTCCATCATTAAAAAGGATTGAAAGTCATAGGGTGGATCGATTTTTGTTTCCATTCATTTATGAAAAAGCCAAAGGTCAAGTGATAAAGTAAAAATGAAACGAACGGATAAGAATCTGTTCTGCTCCCTGCAGCAGGAGTCGATTCCCACATTTCCTCTAATCTTTAGGTCATCTGGTTTTCCATCAGTTATGGTTCAATATTCTCATTCTTCAAATACGTTCGAGTTGATCTCAGAGTCTGGACAAGGTGATTAGATTAATGAGGAGAGGCAGATTACAGGCCAGTAATCAACTGGATAAATAATTAAACCCAAAACCAAAACAATTCTGCAAACAAGCCACTTTTCTCCTGTTTTATCAAAACAAACACACAAAAACAACAATACCTTTGATTTTCTCACTCAGACTCAGCAGGCAAAGGAGAAAAAAATACAATTCTGTTCACAGAATTTTACAGAAAAAAATCATTAATTCATCAGCAAAGACTTCAACAGAATATTTTAGATTTTTTTTAAGTTGACAAACACAAACTATGTTAAAATCTATATGCAATTGTATTATTTTGTTTGAAGGTTGATAAAAAATACAGAAATTCATAAAAAACATTCCTTAAAATTTTCTTTAAAGACTAAATCTAAAAAAAATCCTGATTGAACTTTATAATGCTAACATTTTGCACATGTTCAAGCGTCCATTTGTAAATCTTAAGGCAACGTTTGTGTGCAGATGCGATCGAGTCGAGGCCCTGCCGCTCATCTGTCATGAAAATAAACAGGAGGACTTGACTTTTATTTTGAAGGAGCGTTTTATTAAGCTGCGCTCCAGAGGGAAATTGGGGCTAAGCGCTCTCAGGGTCCTCCGAAATGTTAAACACTCAGCTGGAGCTTCTGTTTGTGTCTCAAAGCAATGAGGAAGACAATGATTTGTTGTCAATTTAACCGACAAACAACAAAATCACTAGTCTTCCACGCTGCTCCGGACTCACAAAACCAACCAGTCTGAATGAACGGTGATGTGTTCCTATAAAGATCCAGCATGAAGGCGTTACTCTCCTTTATCTGATGGAACTGTGAGCCAACGGGTGAAAACTGCAGCAGCAGCTCGGAGGGAAACCTTGGTGCTGCTTCTTCCGCGTCCTCACATGGTTCCCCTGAAGGCCGCAGCCTGCAGCTTCTCAGCAGAACTGGCCGTGCTGAGTGGCCTTCTCCTTGTGAGATTAGACCTGGATGTTTTTCAAGAAAAAAATACTCAAAGGAAACACGCACACTAATCTCACGGGATTGTTTTTCTGACGCTAATGCAGCGAAGATTTTAAAATTACTTTAATTACTCATATAATCGTAAAACTCCTGCAGCTTCTATGACTGTAAACACACAGTGATGCGAGGGAACCTATGGAGATGCTGGAGGGTGTGATGCTGCTGGAGTGTTTATGAAACAGAGCCAGGGGTCAACATCTGGGTTATCTGAAGAGACAAACTGTGGTTGGAGGCTTGGAACGGTGGCTGACGACCCTGCAGGCCAGAGGAGGGAGAAAAAAAAAACGCTGATGTTTCAATAGAGGTACTTTACTGAAACTGTGCTGATTCATTTACACAAAAATATGCTTTATTTTTAATTTTTCTCTTGAAGTTTGCAGCAGGGAATTTAATTATGCACCAAACTCCCAAAATTGGGCAAAATGCCCAAAACAAATTACAATAATCAGTGATTCTTCTTTACACCTTCATGTTATCAAGATATAAGAGCGGAGAATGGACCACATAGTGACAGTTTTTCTACAATTTAACGCAAAAATCAAAAGCAGCTAAAAAAAAGAATCTAATTTTTTTGTTGGTTTCTGATCTTTTTTCATCATTTTTTAAAAGAAAGAATACAAATGTTGAGGCTGTGAGATTAGACTTTGCACCTCCTGATAATATAAACGTAAAACAAGCAGCTGATTATAATAGTTGACACTGAAAATGTTACAGTGTCATAAATATTAGTAGAAATCTGAACTGATTCTGAGTACAAACAGATCGCCAGCCGTTCCCTGTTTTTGAAACAACGATGAAAACAGGGATGCAAATAAAAGAAGAAACTTTCTTGGTTTTTCTTGTTGACTAAAGCACCAACCGTACATATTTGGATTTTGGTAATTTGATCAAAACTGCCTGGCTGATGGCACCATGATCTTACCTGCGGCGTCTGATCAGACCATTCAGTTCAATTAATTATAAAACCAAATAAACCAAATTTCAGGATCTCTTCTTCTGTTTTAGAGGCAGGAGTGACATCACATCTCTACTTATGTAAAACAAATCCAGGAGGATTTGCTGCAACTTGACGTTTCTTAGGCGTCACTGATGCCATGTCAGCAGACTCTTCCTTCTCGAGTGTGTTTGTGCAGCAGATCTGATATGCATGGGTGTGTTTGGAGCTTTCTGCTTACTCTTGAATATGTGTGTGTGTGTGTGTGTGTGTGTGTGTGTGAGAGAGAGAGAGAGAGAGAGAGAGAGAAATGTGCCAGTTTGAAGCATGCATGTTGGATTGAGTAAATGTTTGCAAAAGCAGTAAAACAAAATTGCAACCTGTTGCCTGTTGATTGTGCAGCAATTTGATACAAAAACAATGGAATAATGGAGATGCAAAGACAGATTGGACCAGTCGCAGGGTAAAAGGATTCAAATTAAAAATACGATACTACCGGATTAAAAAAAGACAAGCACGGAGAAGAAAAACGTTTATTTAAAGGTGCAAATTTAAACTGGGAAAAGGGACCAGAATACAATTGCTGACATTTAAAAAGGCGGTCGCCAGTCATAACAATACAAAGATGTGCACAAAGATGAACGGCACACAGATTTCACTGATGGAGAAATCATTTCCACTTACCGTTTTCAAATGAAACACCTGGTGTCACCTGCACAAGAGTCGGCTGCAGACGAGAAAAAAAGTAACAATTTTCAGAGAGTTAAAAAGAAAACAAAAATCTGAATTGGGAAAAAAAAGAAGAAGATGTTTTTGGACGAAATGATGCCCAATGCAGAGTTAAGGGGGCCGGTCGGACATCTGGAGACCTCGGAGCCAGCGATGGCCCCTGCAGAAGGAAAGCAGTCTGCCTTCACTGCTCAGCAGAGAACACTGACAGATATGTTTTTGCTGGCACGGTTATGTTTTTACTCAGGACTGACAGACAGACAGCCCCCATGCACACAGGTGCTATTCAAGGAAACTGTGTAAAAGTGACGTCACACAGAAAAATCTAGCCCATAATTCTTTTCATCACCAAAATCCCACCCACTACATATCTTTTCCCTGTTTCTCTCTTCAGCCTTTGTCTGTGTGTCGTTCCGCTCTTATATCTCTATCAGTCTGTAGAAAATGTTACAGGAAAGAATTACAAACTCACAGCTAATTCATACAATCATCTTTTCTCCATTTCTCCCTCTTTACCCCCCCCCCCCACACACACATACACACACACACAAAACATAGGTTAAGTAGTCTATATAAATCAATAAGTGTTTGTTTTTCATTGCACAATATGCTTTGAGCGTCTTCTTCACCGTTTTTGTTGCGTTTTGCAAACTCGCACCAGCTCCTGATGTGAAACCACCAAATGAAGCTTACCCCAATTTTCATAGCCCTCCAATTTGGAGCATGGCTGCTTCTCTCTAATGCTGAAACACCACTTTGTGAAATTACAGTACAATTTTGAAAAGTAGAAACAGGCAGCAGGCAATTCAGGTGCTCAGCCTCCGCAACAATGGACCGCTGGCCTTGGTGATGGTTGCTAGGCAATGGAGGAAATACAATGGCCTTCTCTGAAACCAAAGGCCCTTAAGTGGACTGACAGGAGTGAAAGCACACACACACACACACACACACACACACACACACACACACACACACACACACACACACACACACACACACACACACACACACACACACACACACACACACACACACACACACACACACACACACACACACTAAATTGAGCAATGTGGGAAGGAGAGTGCAAGTGAAGCTGTGCACCTCTGTGTGTTCACAGAAATATTAAAGATCAGACCATACAGGGTTTAATTTGGGGAAAAACGGGGCAATGAGTCTCATCTCAAAGCTCCATCTCCATGCAAGGTGTTTAAGACATCCCCTAAATGCTAAAGAGCTGCTTTTGTTTGTGTAGAAGAACATCTGACAGCAACAGATAGTGTTTCAGACGGAACGATGTATTGACCCATCACGGTGGAATAAAAATCCAATTTGTGGCACTGAAGGACGGGCGGCTCCTCTTTCTGTCTTTATGCTCATTTCTTCATCTGTTCTGTTGCGTCTTCACACAAAAACCTTTTCTCTGCTGCGTTTGTCAATCAGCCGATCAATCGATCAAACAGTAACACCAGCACCTGCATCGTTTTGTGTTCAGAGCACATAAACAAGTGAATTCAGTCCATTTATGAACTCGCTCTACATTTTCACCACAGTGAATTTAGTTTCTGGCATCCTAATACTATGAGATATACATAAAGTCTGATTAACAAATGATTAAAACCAAATGACCCCATATAATATGTATTAATCCAGATGTCAAAAATCAATTAAATTAATAATTTTATAGGTAGTAACAAAGAACTTCCAAAATTTATTACAAATACATATTTTGTAGCTTCTAAATTTTAAATTTGGACATTTTTTTGGTTTACGAGAAGTAAGAAACCCTAAAATGACATGATTTAATTTATTTTTATTTGATTTTGAGTGTCTTGTTTACATAGATTCAGTATAAAAGAATATTCTTAAATGAGAATAAGACATTTACATGCAGCAGTGCCTCAAGAAAATACCAAAAGGAGGCTGCTGGTGATTGGACGCAGCCCGAAACAAAATCTAAAAGCCCGGTTCACACAGCTGTGTTTTTACTTCGGCCGATCTTTAAAACTTGACCACACACGTGGTGATAAAAAAAATCACAGATATAACAGTTTTAGTCCAACATTTGTGGTGGAAGGCAACACAACAAAAACGACATGAACTGATTTTGCACACAAACAAACACCTGAGATGGGAAATCTCACGAGATCACGCAAGAACTTTGGAGTAAACAAACATGGCTTTCTGGTTGCTAGACATCACATTCAACAAGCTGCATGTTCGTTTGTCCTCAAAACCACACTAAGAAAATGCAACATGTTTAAAAGCCCGGTTTTATGTTTGGAGTGGCTCTTACGTGCTTCAGAGCAGACCACAGCACCCTTAACACACCACACATGGTAGAAATATCTGATAGGATTATCTTTAGAAGATGAACATATCATTTATATAGTGCCTCTTAAGATAAAAGTCATGTAGCGCTTCACAAGCAAAAACATTAAAAAATGATTAAAAATAAAACTATTTGGAGGAGTAAGACCTTGTGGAGAAAAAAAGTGAGGAAAGGAAAAGAGAAAATGAATAAGAAAGAGGTAAATAGTGGATCCCAGGAATAGCTGAATTGGTGGAAAGAGCTGAATGAGGAGAAGGTAGTGTTGAATAATCAAACCTGAAGCTCACACCAAAGCCTGAACAGGTGAGTTTTCAGCTGTTTTTTTAAAGGAAACCACTGAGTCCTCTGATCTCAGGCTCAGGGAGAGAGCTCCAGAGTCTGGGGGCCTGGTGCGCTGCACAACCCGTAGGCTTTGGCCTCTGATTGGCAGATTCAATCAGCTTCCCGCATACGTGATTCATTATCATTCTGGATGCTGTGGAGCTGAGAATAAGCCTCTGAATTAAGGTGTTTTTCTCTGTCTCTCACTACTGTGAGGAGCACACACACACACACACACACACACACACACACACACACACACACACACACACACACACACACACACACACACACACACACACACACACACACACACACACACACACACACACACACACACACAAACAAACTACTGCAAGAGCCTGAACTAGAGCTCAGTGAGTTTGTGTAGTTTAACCTAATGCTTTACGTAAGAACAATACTATTATATACGTGTTTGAAGCCATTATGCAATGGAACACTGGCAACAAAGCTCTGCCTCATCAACACTATTTAATTCAGCAATTTGTTATTCTCCCAATCGATTACTAACCAAAACCTCATGATTTTTGAAAAACATGTTTTATTTAAACATTAACTGATTTTCAGCATACCAATCTTTACAGAAAACACAAAAGCCCTATGTAAAAAACTGCACATAAAATATATTTAAAAAAACGATATTCACTTATCACTTAGAGCAGTGGTTCCCAAGTTTTTCAGCCTCTGACCAACAGATGTTCCTTCGTATTTTTACGTTATTTAGACATTTTCATTATATTTGGAAAGTTTAAATTTCTAAATAAATATATAAAGCTCTTTATACATTTTATATTTTACTTTTATTTTTATGATTATGTGGCCCACTTTGTTTTCCATATGTAATGCATCTGCTCTTTTTTATGTTTTGCCTTGGCCTCCAAAATGCCTTGAAACGGCCCTGGGTGTGTGACTGAGATCTGAAGGTGATCTGAATTGTGTCAGATGTATAAATATGACATGAGTATAACTTATTGTTTTATACAGGTAAAAATGTGTAATGGAGATAAATCTACCTACATTTTACTTTCAAGTTTTGTTTTCTTGCTTTTATTTAACTATTTTCCTGTCCTGTCTGTCTCTCATCTTCCTGCATCTCCTCTAAACTCTCCAGAAAAAATGTTGACTGGATTCTTACTTTTTCACCTCATCAGTTACTTTTGAGCAGATCAAAGGGATCTCCTGACCACAAAGTGGAGAGCACGTTTCGATGCTGCGTCAGTGAGGTGAAATCACCGCAGCACACGATGAGCGGAACGATTAAAAGACAGAGTACCAGAGGATATAAACAGAAATGAATGATCATGTGTTAATAATATTAATAATGTTTTGTTGCGCCAACATGAGAATGTATCGTGACGCAGCGGGCACACCAACGATCAGCGCTCTGCGTCCTCTCCACTCAACAGAATCCCGCAACGCTGAGAGTCCATAAATATTGGAATATAGGTAGAAATTGGAGCTTTCTCTGAAAGATATCTAGCCCCCCCATAACTCGATCCCTGCTCCTGGATGAAAAACTGGACATTTTGATGAATGTAGGAATCCCTCCCCCCGGACGCCCCGGACAGAGAGTGAAAAGTGGACATGTGGGAAAGAAGACGTATGGTCACCCTAATCTAATATTGTGTCATGGTCCGCGTCTGCCCCTTCCTTCATGTGCCTCCTGGTGTCCTCCATCCCTCTCTAGATTCCCTTTTGTGTCTCATAGCGCCCTCATGTGTCCTTTGTCTGCATCTCATTTATGTGTTTTCTGTTTGTAGGCACTCGATCATTCCCATCCCCTCCAGTTGTAGCTCCAGCCTCTTTGTCCCCAGCTCTGTGTTTGTGTGGGTGTGTGCATGTCCATTCCCCAACTCAGTGTGTGTGTGTGTGTGTGTGTGTGTCCATTCCCCAATTCAGTGTGTGTGAGTGTATTTGGGTGTGATTGTGTGTGTGTGAGTCCTTCCCTCAGTCTTTTAGTTCAGTTTTGTGTTTATCTGCCCTCCTTTGGTTCTGCTTCCCCATTTAGGTAATTGTTGTTACCCGTCTTCCCTCCAGCCCTCACTTCACACACCTGCTTCCTGTTCCTTTAATTACTCCTCCCTGTTATTTAAGCCCTGGCTTGTCTTTGTCTTGGGTCGGTCCATTGTGGAAATTCTGTCAGTCTGCTCGTGTTGTCTCTAGTGTTTTGATCTTCTACTCAGCTCTTTGGATTTGTTGTTTTTTTGGCTCCAGCCCATTTGGATATATTTTTGTTTCATTCATCCTAATAAAAGGATTTTACTTTACATCATCTCCTGCCTCGTGTCATCTTGGGTTCCTGCATTTTGGGTCCTACCAACACCGAAACGTGACATATTTGCACTCTTCATGTTGCGCGCATCTCTTCCTCTCCCCAACTAGGAGCCTCTCGGCAGGAGGCATTTTTCAAGCTCTAAAAACTCCAAAACTTTGCTCAGTATGAAGATTGCACATCTCCACTATATTCTGGTGTAAAGTAGTAACTTCATGAGGGATCGTATTTGTAGATGAGACTTGTTGAAGTCAGCATTGAGGCTTTGGTGCTTATAACGAGTAAGTCCCAACACTGACAACAATGTACTGAAACTAGAACCAACAAACAGATTGGTCCAGCCTGCTTACATCGTTGGTCTTTTTTTAAAATGCAGTAATTGTTGTTCACCTTTTTCGTTTCATCCTGCGTCCTAGCAGCAACCACTTTTGAGCCTCTGGAAATGGTGTTTGTTTACGTCATGCTTCATTCAATCTAATTGGAAAAAGAAGCTTCAAATGCTTAACCTACAATTTTGTTTGCTTTCTGGTCCAAGTGCGGGGGA